AGAGAGAGAGAGAGAGAGAGAGAGAGAGAGAGAGAGAGAGAGAGAGACCTGGCTTGGCATTTTTGAAAACCAAAGCCTACACTCTGACTAATGTCCTCAAACAAGGCCACATTACTCTAATGAGACCACACCACCTACACTCTTGTCAAGTAGTGCTATTCCTTGATGATCAAGATTTCAGTATATGAGCCTATGGGAACCATTTGTATTCAAACCACAGCATTCCGCTTCCAGGTCCCCATAGGCCTGTTGCAATATCATAAGGCAAAAAATGCACTCAGCCAACCTTAAAAGTCCCCGTAGTCTAATAGTCTATCACAATCTCAATGCATTATAAAATTCAAACCCATACAATCCCTAAGCCGTAACCCCTGTAAAATCTGAATAAAATAGCAGATAGATCACATTCTTCCCCCATACCCTGGCAAAGGATGTGCAGCACCATTCCAAAATGTAGGAAAGGGAGCATTGTGAGGAAATGCTGAACCAAAAACAAGACCAGAAACCAGCTGGGCAAACTCCAAACTCTGCATCTCCATGTCTAACGTCAAAGCACTCTTCAGATCTCCAACTCCTGTCAGCTTGTTGACTGTAACACACATCTCTGTCTTGGGCTGGTTCCTTTCCCTCTTAGCACTGATCTTTGAGAGGTGTCCATGACTGTGGCATCCTCAACATTTGAGGTCTCCAGTGGAATCCAGACTTCAGTTTCATACAGCGTCCTCTCTGGGCCTCCATGCATGGACACCTCTGCCGTACACCTGACCTCAGTGGCAATTCATAGCCACAGAGGGAGATTCCATAATCTCTTTCTTGTATTTTTGACTCTGAAGACACCAGGACCATGTGGCTGAAGCTGCCAAGTTCTGCTGCTTGCTGGAGCTACAGCTTTTACCCCTCGTTCAAATATGTTTTCAACAGCCTGCTGTTTTTGATAGTTTCTTTCACTGCTTAAACTTTAATTCCATTTTATAAGTTGGAAGCTACGATGGTTGTGGTCTTGTTCTGGAGTATGCAGACACTTTCTATTGATCATCAGGGATTTTTATTAAATTTTGTCTCCTCGAGTCCTGGATTTAGCTCCATTACATTTTACAGTGCTTCTTTTCCCCTCAAACAGTACATATTTCTTTTTCCTTGACTAGCTGGTCCTTTTAATTATAGATCTTTATAAGAGTCACCATTAATAACCACAAGGCAGACTCAGTACTAGGTTGTCTTTAAATCTCCTCTGCCAATGCCAGTAACTCAAAACTCCTCAATTTTATTAACATCTGACAGATTTTTCAGACAGGAGCAAATACAGCCACATTTTTGGCCAAAATGTCACAGAACTGTCTGTGTGCTACTAATATTCACCCCTTCTGACAGTACTTCAACTTGCCCTGCCCTCCCAGTTCAAATCACCCTCAGCATTGTCTTGCATGCTCCTACCACTGTCCCATGAAGCTACACTTAAAACACTTGGTTACTTTCCAAATCCAGTTCACATTCCACCCACAAGTAGCACTGTCAGGCCTGTGACAGCAGTGCCATGTTCCTTGGTTCTAAACTCTGTCTTAGTGTCCTGTTGCTGTTAGACAAGTCATGATCATGGCCACACTGATGAAATGAAGCATTTAATTGGGGCATGCTTACAGCTTGAGAGGTTTGTCACATTACTGTGATGGTGGACAGCATGGTGGCACACAGGCACACGTGGTGCTGGAGAAGTAAGTAAGAGATCTACACCTGGATCCACAATGAGAAGGAAGAGAGAGAGAGGCTCTACAACTATCTTGGGCTTTTGGAGCCCCAATTTCCATTTCCAGTGACAGGCTTCCACTAACAAGGCCATATCCCCTAATTGCCCCCCAAGTACTTCTACTCCCTAAAGACCAAGAATTCAAATTTATGAGCTTAAGGAGCTGAATATTGAATATATTTTTCTCCTGCTTTTTTTTTTGACTGTTTCTGCAGTGTGTTTTATCTTATGTACTTGACCCTTTAAAAGGTACCCAGTTGCTAGTCAACTGGCCCTTTAGAATTTGTAGCTGTTAGAACTGCTTGACACTATGACCTTAAGTGTTGTTGCCTCTTGGATTTCTAGGAACAGGATAGGTTATTAAAAAGCCAACTGAGGTTGAGAAAAAGGATTGGGCAAGCAGAGTGAGAGGAGAAGCAGTTGATGCAGAAGATATTCTTGGGAGACAGTAGAGCCAGGAGGAGCTGACTGAGCAGATAGACTAGAACAATTGTTACAGTTTGGAGCTGCTGGTATTGGGAAAACTGAGAGAAGGAATTGTTTAAGGTGAACTGAGAGAGGAAAGGCTGGGAGAAACATTTGAAGGGGCTGGGCTGGAAACTGGGAGGCATGGTTGGGAAAGAAATTAGATTGAGTGATCTCTCTCTCTCTCTCTCTCTCTCTCTCTCTCTCTCTCTCTCTCCCCTTCCTTCTTTCCTATCTAGTCATAGGGAATGAAACCAGGAAGATAAAGGGTGAAAAAAATAGAACTAACAAAGTAGCAATGACCAGAAAAAAGAACCAACAAAGTAACAAAGACCAGGTACAGGTCTCTTTGTGTAGCCCTGGCTGCCCTGGGACTCACTCTGTACACTAGCCTGGTCTTGAACCAAGAGATCTGCTTGCTTTTGGCTCTGCAGAACCATGGCTCAGGAAATACTCTTAATCAAATCACCACAGAAGCCTATGGAAATTTTGTTTGATCATGTAAGTGGAAAAATTGTCAACAAATGAATGGACGGCTACATAATAGTGACAAAACAACATGTTGGCCTGTGAATCAATTTCTAGACTTGAGCCAGTTTACAGACCCAAAACCCCTTGAATGAATAATTGGCCAGGTTTGCCTGAGTAAGTAAGTACCTTATAAAATACCTAAAATGTTTACTGTGAGCCTTTCTCCAGTCCTTTCCTAGTGGGACCTACAGGCTTTCACCAGGATAGCCATACACTGGGGTAAAGAATCAGCCTTTCCAGGCTCTATTAGATATTGGCCCAAATTAATGCTAATTGCAGGAGATCACAAGACACATTATTACCCTTCAATTAAAGTAGGGTCCTGGGCTGGAGAGATGGCTCAGTGGGTAAGAGCACTGACTGCACTTCCAGAGGTCCTGAGTTCAAATCCCAGCAACCACATGGTGGCTCACAACCATCTGTAATGAGACCTGATGCCCTCTTCTGGTATGTCTGAAGACAGCTACAATGTATTCATGGGCTGGAGAGATGGCTCAGCGGTTAAGAGCACTGACTGCTCTTCCAGAGGTCCTGAGTTCAAATCCCAGCAACCACATGGTGGCTCACAACCATCCGTAATGAGATTGGATGCCCTATTCTGGTGTGTCCGAAGACAGCGACAGTGTACTCATAAATAAAATAATAAATAAATCTTAAAAAAAAAGTAGGGTCCTATGGAAGTCTAGTAATTAATGCGATTTTGGCAGAAATATGACTCATTGGGTTCCTGAATTCATCCTGTGGTTATTTTCCAGTCCCAGTACGTATAATTGAGATAGATGTACTTAGAAGTTGGCGGAATTCTCACATTGGTTCCCTGACCTGTAGACTGAGGGCTATTCTGGTAGGAAAGGCTAAAGGGAAGCCTTTAGAGTTCCCTCTACCAGGGGAAACAGTGAATCAAAGTCTCCATCACATTCTTGTAACTCTTTTAATACCTTCTTTTAATGATGGTTGTTAAATTCTTTAACTTCCCTTCTAGCCCACCACCCACCAGAGCTGGAGGGAAACAAAGGATATGGGGTAAGTGAAACTGTGTAGAAATGGTTCTTTGGAGCAAATCGTATCTGCTTTGTCAGGAAATCAGCAGTTCAGTTCACAGGAGCCCTTAGGGACAGTTTCATTTGCTCACAAACACTTCAGGAATATATTAGCAGTCCTGTTTGGTAGAGTCAGGATAGCAAACAGGAATTATCAGCAGCGGCACTACACAGCAGAGACAGCCAGGCCTCAGCCTCCACAGGAATCAGCAAGAGGGATGTGGACCAGTAGGAATGCCAGGAGCAGGTCTCAGCTGTGCCTCTCTCAGGGAAGCAAAGATCAGCAAAGAAGAGTTGCACAGCTAGACCTCTAAGCAAGCCAAGCTCAGTCTCCATCACTGTCTGTCGAGTTCTATTTATACTCACTCCAAACATCAGCTGTCCTCCATGGATCTTACCTCAGTACGTGTGTCTTTCTCAGATGACGTCACTCTGCCATCAGCCTAAGTCCATGGAAGTGGCAAGAAGCTGCAGCAAGCCAAAGCACACCACCAGAAGTTTTTTTTTTGGTGCATTTCACCCTGTGGAATCCTGACAAATGCAGCCCAACTGTGTTATGTAAGGAAGACCGATACACAAATGTTGTTCGCAAAGAATACTTCATCACGGGTCCTCTCACATGATCGATTGAGTAGAAAATGTCTTTACCTAGATGTTTCAACTAAATGCTCCTTCCTGAATCTCTCTCAGCCTTTCACTAGAGTCTACTTCGGAGAAATGTTCCCTCATGTATTTGCAGCATAAAACACCATCCAACTGCACTGATTTTCTGAAGAATCCTTAAGTTTCCTGTTCAGAAACTGAACATTTGATAATGGGCCATCAAGTTACAATGTGACCTGAGCTGCCCATCATGAGTTGGATGTCATCTGAACCACCAAGTCATAAACTAGGACATGCACTGCACTAACCTGTTGGGAGCCGCGTTCGCCATTCGACAATGGCGCGGCTCCGTGTGGGAGCCGCATTCGACATTTGTCAATGGCGCGGCTCAGTGAGGTAAAATGCGCCTGAACAAGGCGCGCTGGCTCCCTGCCTCTCGGCACTGTGAGGGAGCCGTGAAGTAAAGTGCGCCCGAGCAAGGCGCGCCGGCTCCCTGCTTCTCGGCTCTGACAGAGCCATGAATGGAAGTGCGCATGTGCTGGCTTCCAGCGCTCTGGCTTCAGTCAGAGCCAAGCCGAATGTGCGCATGCGCAAAGAGCAAAATTAATATGCTAATTAGGCCTCACTCCAAGAGCCAATGAAAAACTAGTATGCTAATTAGGCATCACTTAAGGAGCCAATGAGCATGCAGTAAGTTCTCCCAGGACTCTATATAAGCCGTGGGTTCTGGGGCTCTGGGTCCTTCGCCACTACCATCTAAGAGAGCTGTAACACTACCATCTAAAAGAGCTGTAACACCATCTAAAAGAGCTGTAACAAGTAAACTGCTGTCAGAAGAATCCTGAGTGTGGCGTGTTCTCCTTATCAGCGAGGTGGCGCGTCACACTAACCTATTATCAAATGGAAGAAGTACATAAGGAATTGGGCCTGGGCAGGTCCTATAGGCACAAGGAAGTTACATGAAGACTTTGCCCAAATGCCTATGGTTTCTACAACTGTTACACTGTCATGTGCTGCCAAGCACGTACCTACTGCCTCATGAGGTGAGCCTTATTATTGGAAAACTAAGGAAGAAGAGACTAGGGCCTGTCTTGATGATGGTTCTGTATGTTGTCCTGTCACCAGAAGTGGACAGCAGCACCATTACAACCCCTTTCTAGAAGAACCCTGAATGGCATTTGTGAAGAAAATCTTTACAGTGGGTGGAAGTTCAGGCCATACACATGGCAATACATTTTATTTGGAAGGGGAAATGGCCAGATATGTGATTGTCCTCTAATTCATGGGCTGTAGCTAATGGACTGGCTGGATGGACAGAGACCTGGAAAGAGCATGATTGGAATCATCTAGGGGTGAAGCATGTGCATAGATCTCTCCAAATGGGGGAAGGGTGTGAAGACACTTGTGCCCCATGTACATGTTGAAAGGTGACAACATCTAGGGAGAAGTACACTAATAAAGTAGGTAGGTGACTCATTCTGTGGACAGTCTCTTTATGTAGCCATGTCTGTTATTACCCAATAGGCCCATTGTTGGGAGCCAACTCCTAGCAGAAAGCAGCTATCATCTTTGCAGCCATCTTGGGCCATATATTTGAAGGTTGATATTTTTCCACCCTGTCAAGAGACTTGTTCTTCTAGCATGATATTTTTGCAGGCAGCCTACAACAGCTGAGCACACTCTGATAAACATCTTGTTTTTCTCAGACATGTCCTGGACTTGTTGTTTAGTGTCCCCAGCTGCAAGGCACTGTGGTAAAGTGTCTCTACCTGCACTCCCCTGCTTGTGCTTATATACTTATGATTTTCTTTCAATAAAGGAGACTTGATCAGACACTCTGTCTTGGCTTCGTTCTTCATGTCTCTTACCCCTCCATCCCCACTCTCTCTCTTGCAGACCCAGTTGACTGACCTGTGGGCTGGGTCAGCCCATGACCAAAGCAGCCATGGTGCCAGAGATGAAGGCTATGGATTGGCTTGACAATACGGACTTCCACTCACCAAAGCTGACCTGGTTACAGCTGCTTCTGAAAGCCAGATCTGCCAACAGCAGAGACCAACACTGAGCCCCAAATATAGGGTGACCAGCCAACAACCTGGTGGCAGGTTGACTGTATTGGACCAGGTCCTTCATGGAAAGGACAACACTTGGTACTTACTGGAGTAGATTCTCATTCTGACTATGGATTTGCCTTTCTCACATGTGATGTTTCTGCTGAAACCACCCTCAGTGAACTTACAGAATGCCTTATCCACCATCATGCTATTCCACACAGAGTTCCATGTGGTATTCTACCAAGGAACTCACTTCACAGCAGAAGTGTGACAGTGGGCCTACGGTCATGGAGTCCTCTAGTCTTACCAGGTTCCCCAACAACCTGGAACAGCTGGCTTGACAGAAAGATGAAGTGACTGTCTGAAGACACAGTTATGGTGCTAATTAGGTGACAGCAGTCTGCAGGGCTGAGTCATAAATAGTGGGACTTTCTTGGTCCTACAGTGGATGAATAAAGACACAGAAAGTTATTATTATTATTTATAAAAGCTTAGACGCTTAGCTTGGCCGACTTTCTGCTATTCTAACGTGACAAATACTGTCCCATGTCCCATCACATGGCCTGTTTTTACTCCTCTCTCACAGCCCTGGTACATCTGTCCTTCCCCATGTCATACTGGTGAATCCTCCTGCCCCTGATTCTTTTCCCAGAGACCCTCTCTCAACCCTGAAGTCCCACCCTTACTCTCCTGTCTAGACATTGCCATCAGGCTGCACAAAGGATGGCAGTGTTAGGAGGTGTGAGTGATGTAGATCACCAAGGAGAAATTAGATTGTCTCTCCACAATGGGGGTAAGAAGGATCATGTCTGAAGTGCAGGAGATCCTTTAGGGCTTCTCTTAGTACTAACATGTCCTGTGATTAAAGTCAATGAGAATCTACAACAGCCTAATCTAGGCAGGTTGACAAAGGACACAGACCCTTCAGGAATGGTGAAATGGTCTCTCCTCAAAGAAAAGTCACAAGACCCACTGAGTTGCTGGGGAAAAGGGAGCAAATGTGGAATGGGTAGCAGAGGAAGGTAGTTATAAATATCAGTCAGGAGAGCAGGAGATCTTTCCGAGGACACTGAAAAAGAGACACATGAAGCAGAGGAGCAGTAACTAACCACATGGCAGAAAATAATGTCAAATAAATGGGATCATATATTATGAGGTAGCCAGGGAACCAGCCAAAGGTAGTTGACCAAGCATTAAGCATATACGTTTCAGAGTCCTTATTTCTTTAAAAGAAGAGGCTTTGTGGAACATATGTGGTTATCTGCTAATGCCATTTGACCAGTTGCAGAAATGCAGATTATAACTGACATATAAATTTCTATTGTACTTGGTTAAGAATGTATTTGTACAGATATTGCATTATCTTCTCTGTTTCTTTATCATACGATGTAGCATCAATTAAGAGAATTATCAAAAGTTATCATATTTAAATTTGAGATACTAAAAGAATCTTCTTCAAGAAACATTGCCACTTTTCCTAAATTTATAATGTATTTGCAATTGAATGAGTAATAGTTATCTCATGTTTCATTATTATTGTTATTATAATCTGGTTATTGATTTCATTTGGAAGTTAATCATGACACAAGGAGATATGATTGTGTGTCAAGGTGTGCATCATGAAATTAATAGGTGGTGTTTTTTCTTTAACCCCACTTTCTTCCAAATAATTGACACAGAGAGACTATGATTTATTCAATTAGCTTTAAAGCAGCCAGGGATTTTCCCTTTAACTCCAAATCCTCTGTTTTGTGGTTTTCACAGGTCGTTATGATCTTTGGGCTGAAATACAATTTATGAGTGAGTTTACACCTCAGGCTCCTCCTCTAATTGTTACTCAACACCACACTCTCAAGTCACAGTGAAACATGCGCGCGCGCACACACACACACACACACACACCCCAAAGGTGTAATCCCAGCACTTGGCATGCTGAGCTGAGGCAGGAGGATCAAGAATTCAAGGTTGGGACTGAACAGATGACTCAGAGGTTGAGAGCACTAACTGTTCTTCAATAGGTCCTTAGTTAAATTCTCAGAAATCACATGGTGGCTCACAACCATCTATAATGTGATCTGGCGCCCTCTTCTGGCAGACAGGCACATGTAGGAAGAACACTGTACATAATAAACAAACAAACAAATAAATGTTAAAAAAAAAGAATTCAAGGTTGGTCGGGCGGTGGTGGTGCACACCTTTAATCCCAGCACTTGGGAGGCAGAGGCAGGCAGATTTCTGAGTTCGAGGCCACCCTGGTCTACAGAGTGAGTTCCAGGACAGCCAGGGATACACAGAGAAACCCTGTCTCAAAAAACCAAAAAAAAAAAAAAAAAGAATTCAAGGTCAACTTGAGCTACAAAACATAACAACCCAAACAGCATAAATGAACGAACACACAGGCTTCATAGACCAGTAGCATCAGGGACCACTCTATTGGGGGAGTTGTGTTGATTTCTCCCTTCCATTGCTGAATACCTAACACCTGTGTGTATGTTCATCTAGTGCAGGGGACCCTAGAGTACTACACTAGGGTTTGGAGGTGTTCCTATGTGCTGTAATGACCCCCAATACTGTTCAGGGATCTCTTTCTTTACAGAAATCTTATTTACTTTTTATTTTTTTATTTTTATTTTACTTTTTTTATTTACTTTCTTTTTAAAAAATGTTTTTATGTATATGGGTGTTTTGCCTTCATGTATGTCTGTGCACCATGTGCATGGAGTTCCCCAGGCAACCAGAAGAGGGCACTCTATCCCTTATGAGACTGGAGTTACAAGTGAGTGAGAGCTGGGAACTGAACCCAGGTCCTCTGGAACAGCAGTAAGCATTCTTCACCCCTGAACAATCTCTCCAGCTCCATAATTTTACTTGGAAGTGACACCATCTTTATTTTTATGTCTTGGCTGTCTGTGATTCTTTTCTCTGCAGGCACAGGGCCTCACTCAGGCCTGAGCTTCCTAACTACCTTGCAGAGGTTTGAATAGAAGAATCCCTGGGTTCCTCAGGGCCACAGAGTCCAAGAGAAGGAGCTTCCCAATCTGTCCCCACAGTGCTCAGTCTACACAAACGTGTGATGTCCTTCAGCATCAACGCAGCATTGGTAACATAACCCAAACACGGAACATTCCAGATGCCCTGTATAGGCTTAGATTTTCCAAAACCTACTTTAAAAACCTTACTTAAATATTTTAACCTCTCTTCTAGCTCACCACTCACCCCAGGTAGTAAAAAGGAAAAGTTAA